TTAGAGAACTGTTTTGATCTGATTCATTGCAACCTGTGGGGACCTTGTATTGACATTGCTTATGATTGATCAAAGTATTTTCTTACCATTGTTGATGACCACAATCGATGCACTTGGACTTATTTATTAAAATTGAAATCTGATGCTTCAATTGCCTTGCAAAATTTCTATACAATGATTGAAACACAATTTGGTTCCAAAATCAAGATCATTAGAACTGATAATGGAGGAGAATTTGACTTGAGACAATTCTATTCTAAAAATGGCATTATATATCAAACTTCATCTATAGAAACTCCTCACCAAAATGTATTGGTTGAAAGGAAGCATCAACATATTCTAAATGTAGCTAGGGCACTAAAGTTTCAAAGCGGGTTACCTAAGTTGTATTGGAATGATTTTATTCTAACAGCAATCTTTCTAATAAATAGGACACCCACTTATATTCTAGACAACAAAAACACCATTTGAAGTTCTTTTCAAAACCAAACTAGTCTATTCTAATCTGAGGGTGTTTGGTAGCCTAGCTTTTGCTGCCACCCTTCCACACAACAGACACAAGTTTGATTTAAGGGGAAGAAGGTGTGTTTTCATGGAATATCCATTTGGAACCAAAGAATACAAACTGCTTGACTTGGAAACTAACAAAACCTTTATATCAAGAAATGTGGTATTCCATGAAAACATTTTTCCCTATAAAAGCTGCAAAATCTAAGACCATAATGATGCTTCAAAACCTATTCATAAGCTGCCAATTCCTACCCACTTGGCTTATCCTAAACCAAGTAACAATAACCTAGATTATCCTGTCAGTTCCAATTCTCAGCCACAAATGGAATGAACATAAGATTCCAATCAAAATATGGAGCTTTCAGAAATCAACTAACCTCCTGCTTAATTAGAGTCATCGCCTGAAGTCTCAGGTAATTCTCAAATCCCTCGAAAGTCCGACAGAAATAGAAAAACACGTACCTATTTACAAGACTTCATTTGCCAGCAAGCATCCTCACTCACTTATTCTCAAGAGTCCAACAAGAAGAAAGGCATTATGACTTTAGGTAGCCCATATCCCTTGTATGCAACACTTTTATATCACAAATTGTCTAACAAGTATAAAGTCTTTGCCTAATCTATAATTACACATCCAGAACCATCAACTTACCAAGAAGCTGTCAAGCCCCTGAATGGTGTAAACTTATACAGGCTGAAATATATGCTCTCGAGCTAAACAAGACCTGGAATGTAACTGAATTGCCATCTGGAAAGGTTCCTATAGGGCGCAGATGTGTTTATAAGATGAAGTTCAATGCTGATGGAACAATTGAGAGGTATAAAGCAAGGCTAGTGGCAAAATAACACACTCAGTTGGAAGGAATAGATTACCATGAGACTTTCTTACCTGTGACCGTAAGAACATTACTTGCAGTGGCAGCTATAAAGGGTTGGTATTTACATCAATTTGATGTAAAGAATATATTTTTATATGGAGACTTAGAAGAAGAAGTTTATATGCAAATCCCTCCCGGCTATTCTATTAATGGAACTTCAAAAGTTTGCAAACTCAATAAAAGTTTATATGGTTTAAAGCAGGCAACTCGTCAATGGTACTCAAAGCTATCATTTTTTTTATCATTGAACAGGACTTTCATCAATCTAAGGTAGACTACAGGTTGTTCACAAGAAGCACAAATGATTCTTTTACAGCTATACTGGTTTATGTTGATGACATAATAATGGCAGGTAATAATATTGAAGTTATCAATTCCCTTAAAAATCTGCTTGATGATTAGTTTAAGATTAAGGATTTGGGGAACTTGAAATACTTCCTTGGGATAGAGGTAGCTAGATCGACAAAAAGAATTCAGATTTGCCAAAAAAAAAAAAATATGCGCTAGATATTCAAGCAGATTCAGGTACCAATGGAGTCACTCCAGGCAAAATCCCACTTGACCAAAATACCAAGCTGTCCAAAGATGAAGGTTAGACTCTTTCTGATCCAGCACCATATAGAAGATTAGTGGAAAGACTACTCTACCTGACAATCACCAGAACTAACCTATCATACTCAGTGCATTTGTTAAGTCAATACATGCAAAATCCTAGAACATCACACCTGAATGCTGCACATAAGGTGCTCAGATACATCAAGAGAGCACTAGGCCTAGGATTTTTGTTCTCCTCATCCTCAAGTTTACAATTTAAAGCCTACACTGATTCGGATTGGAGGGGGTGTCCAGATTCTAGGAGATTAATAACAGGATATTGTCTCTTTATTGGTTCTTCACTAATATCTTGGAGATCCAAAAAGTAAAACACTGTTTCTGGATCATCAGCAGAAGTGGAATATAAGGCTATGGTAGCTGTTTGTTGTGAGTTAACGTGGCTTAGATATGTTCGTGATGATTTACAAATTTCACACCCGAAGCACATTGAATTGGATTGTCATCTAGTACATGACAAGATATAAGAATGAAGCATAATTACGAGATGCGTGAGGGCTGCCTCACAAATTGCTGACATTTTTAATAAACCCCTATGTTCAGACATCTTTCATTCACATTTGTCCAAGATAGGAGTAGAAAACATCTACTCTCCATCTTGAGGGGGCTGTTGAAATATAAAATCGAGAACAAGGAAAGAGCTAGAAGAATGTAGAATATGCTGGAATGGAGGCTGCTGCCACTTGTTGCAAGGAGATAGAATAGATTCCAAAATTCAGTTGTGGTGCTAATGTATAACAGATTTTTTGTTTTGCCACCTGCACAAATTTGTTATAAGTTATGTATATATATTGTTGTAACGTTCTTCCCAATTTATCAATATATGAAAACATAGCAGAACATTTTCCTCTTCTCCTTTTATTCAGAATTCAATTCGGCATTGTTCTTGTTTAATTGATAAGCAATCAGTTAGTTGATTTTCTTATATGATATCGAGCTAGAATGGTCGATAATGATGGCACTAGCATTACTGATACAGATCAGAGTCCAACACTACCTCAAAATTCAAATCCAAACTCTCATGATCCATCCTTTCCCAACAGTCCATATTTCATTGGTGCAAATGAGAATTCAGGAGCATTGTTGGTAACTCGGATGCTTGATTCTAGTAATTATCATTCTTGGGCAAGATCTATGAAAAGAGCTCTTCGAATCAAAAACAAACTTGGGTTCATTGATGGAAGTCTCTGGGGGCCTGCTGATATCGATAGTCCCTTGATGGAGCATTGGCTTTGATGTACCAATATAGTTATCACCTGGCCGAAAACACCTTGACAGTAGACATTTAGCCCAGCACGCTATATGCTGAAACAGCACACCAATTGTGGCTGGAATTGGAACAGTGTCTAGCTGTTATTTTTCCCCACTACTGTTATTTTTTCCTTTAATACTTATATACGAGTTTTGTTAATATTTGTTTCATTATTACTTTTTAATTGTTTACAATTGTAATGGTTTATATTTGTCCATTGCAAAACTAACTTATTCTATTATTGTATCGCTAAAAAAATATTAAATAGTTTTTCAAAAAAATTCAAACTAACAATATTAATAAAAAAAATTTAATACCAAAATTAAATGAGAAAACTTTTAACTTTAGTTAAAAGAAACAAAGAAACAAAAATGAGTGTACATTTCGAAAGTCCAATTTCACAACTAGCTATTAGCCTACTCTACGTGTGTAGAGTCAGAAATTAAGCCCATGTTTGGTATAGTTAAAATGCATTTTGCTAAGAATTGATAAAATATGAATTGAAAATTTGTGAATTCCATAAACTGTATTAAAATTAATTGTTAATTGTTGATTGACTTAAATTTATATCAAGATTTTAATACACACCAAACAGGGGCTAATATTAATACACTAGCGCAAAAGCTACATTTGTTAATTACATTTGTAGCTAAAATATTGAGAACAATATTTATCTGATTAATTTCAATATTTATAATTATATTGCAAGCTAATTTTAATGCAAATCGATGCCACAAAAAAAGGAAAGAATAAATATTTCATAAAAATCAGCTTTCATATGAAATCCCTTCTTTACTTTTAAATCAATTAGTGGACATGGTGGATATAGTATGGGACAGTGGGGTCAGCTACCCCTACACTCAATTTCAAATTTTTAGTCAACAAATTAAATAGATCTTAGTTATACGGTTTTCAATTTTGAGACTTTTGAGTTTGCTAAAAATACCGATTTTTATAGTTTCCTCTCTCTCTCTCTCTCTCTCTCTCTCTCTCTCTCTCTCTCTCTTAACGTGCTCCTACAATTTTACAATCCTCTCTCCGCACTTGGTTCTGTGAAACTGTATCTTAGTTATACGGTTTTCAATTTTGAGACTTTTGAGTTTGCTAAAAATACCGATTTTTATAGTTTCCTCTCTCTCTCTCTCTCTCTCTCTCTCTCTCTCTCTCTCTCTCACTTAACGTGCTCCTACAATTTTACAATCCTATCTCCGCACTTGGTTCTGGGAAACTGAAAATTTCACATATGTTGTAGAATAACTGGAGTATTGAATTTGTTGCTAAATTTAACCTTCTATTTTTCATTGCGCATATCATATATTACAGATTTCACAACATACAATATCAGGCGTTGATGCCCTCGAATGACATTTTTTAAAATTCAAAATTAAAGAAGCTCATATATAGATAGGGGGATTACATTCATAGCACGCAAGGCTCTATCACTTACTTTCTTAGAATTAATGGTATATTAAGATGTCTAAAGTCAAATAAATTAGTTAATTAAGTGTTATGTATTAAATTTCTTAGCAATTTGATGATGCTAACAACAAATTTAGAATTTCTTTTAGTTTTCTAATATATAGTTCGCATTATGGCTTTCAATTTTATCGATTCGTCTCAAGATTAGCTTATAAATTGTTCTTGAAATGGGTTTTAGAATATGGATTATGATATCCATTGTAGTATCAATAATTATGAAATCCCAAATTTTGGTTATGTCTCAAAAACAAGTTCCCTGCTTATTTCTTATGGGAGATTCACTGTTTGATAATGGCAATAATAATTTACTTACCACACAAGCGAAGGCTAATTATCCACCTTATGGAATTGATTATCCATATGGTCCTACCGGCAGATTCTCCAACGGTCGAAATATTGCAGATTTCTTAGGTATATTTTCATTTCTCATCCATTTAATTTTAATTAGCCATGATAATATTATTATTATTTTTTTCCTATAACCATGCAGGGGAATTCTTAGGTTTCGACGAGCCAATTTCACCATTTGTAACTGCAAGCGGCTCGGAGATCCAAGAAGGTGTAAATTATGGATCAGGTGGAGCAGGAATTCTCGACAACACTGGACAACAACAGGTAATCAATTTCTCGTCCTAATACTCTTGTTTACTAGCTTCATGTATTTTAGTAAATAACAGTGAATTTAATGAAGTGTTAAAAGAGAAATTGTGTCGTAGAATCTGTGACTATGGGCATGTTTGGCAAAGTTTGTTGCAAAAAATAGTTTTAATGAGACACTTTGAGCTCTATTTTTAGTAGGATATGAATTTTTGAAATTAACGAGATCAAATATATTCATTTTCTACTTTGCGAGACGACTGACACGATTTATTTATTTATTTATTTTTGTCAAAAATCACTAAGATTTGAATGAAATATTTGATTTCAAAGTTATTTACTAGAAATGTGAAATGTTGAATAATTTGATTAGATTTATAAAATTTGTCCTACGTAAGAAATTTGGGGGAAATATTTGGTTTATAAGGTGGAAGTTTGGTCTTGGGTCGGACCTTAAAAGAGTACCAAATTTTGTGGAAAGAGAGCTTACGTAGATATTATTAGGTGATATTATTAGGTCCGAACCATGCAGCCGTTGCTTCTTTACATATATATTTTTGAAAAAAAATATTAAAATTTTCTAATAAATTTTCTAGGTCAAATTGTAATTAATCAAATTGTTGAGTGCTGAATGAAATTATATTCCAACGGACTTTTAAATTCAAACCATTGATTGTTTCCGCAGAATTTTTCTGGGGGAAACCGACACCTATTTATTTGTTTGTAACAGATGTCTGTGATCAATGCAATCGATGTTTGTAACTGACATCAACATACGTTTAGTTTCAATTTAGATCAAAATTTTATTTGAGCACTCACCACTTTTATAAAGTGAAATCATGTTGATCATATTGTTTCAATTTCGTTCTTGTTCAATCTCCTTCTGATTATCTAAAAGTGAAATTGTCTTCAAAGGAGAATTATACTCCAAAAACAACAAAGTTTATAATTGCTTATAAGCTAATTAAATTTTATTTTTATTAAAACACACCTTAGGACTCACGACATATAAGCATTTAAAAATTCCAACAAAAAGACGACTAAGAGCACTTTGGCTAAGCTTTTAAAAAAATAAAAATTAATCACACTTTTAAGGAATTTTTTGTCTTTAATATATAAATAATGATATATAAAACTAGTGATACAAGAATATGTTCAATTAAATGAGTTATGTGATTTTGCATTTAAATGAATTTATGATTAATGTCATGTAATTATCACTTAAACTAGTACTTAATACCAGTTGTAGTTGTGAGGAATAACATTGCTCTTTATATATATATATATATATATATTGAATTTACTAATAAACAAAAATAGGTACATATTTTGAAGGTAGATCTCTACTATCAAAATAAAAAAAATCTATTGAAGTTGATGTAACAATTATAGGTGTGCACGTGCGTGGGTGTGCACATTTGTATAACAAAAAACAACGACGATTTATCATGTTCTGATTCATGTAGGGTGATCGTTTCAGCTTGAACAAACAGTTGCAAAACCATCTAACTACAATATTACGCCTTGCTCATTTACTTGGAAGTATGGGTCGAGCCAAACAACATCTCAGGACGTGCCTGTACAATGTTTACATGGGAAGCAATGACTACCTTAACTACTACTTGTTGCCACAATTTTACTCCCCTCGTAGATTATATACACCACAAGCATTTGCTGATATCTTGATTCAACAATATTCCCAACAACTAAGGGTCAGTATGCCTTTATCTATATATAGATTGAATTTTTTTTTTCTAATTATCTTATGAGATGAAATTGAATTAATTAAAGTGGTTATTTCTATTGGCACTAGACATTGTACAATTATGAAGCAAGAAAAGTAGCAATTTTTGGGGTTGGTCTGATAGGTTGCATTCCATCAGTGTTGGCCGTGTATCCTCCTACAAGTGGATCCACATGCGTTGAATCCATTAATGATGCAGTTGAACTATTTAATAACAAGTTGAAGTCACTTGTGGACACCTTCAATAAAGATCTAAATGATGCAAATTTCATCTATATAAACATCAGTGGCATTTCACAAATTTCGCCCAGAGATATCTCCGCTCTTGGTACGTTTTCACAAGATAATGTCTCAAAGCGTTGAAGATATAAATATAAATGTCGTCTCACTGTGAGATTGGTTTATGATATTAAGTTGATGCAATTATTTCAGGTATTAAATTTGCCAATGTCTCGTGCTGCATAGTATCGAGATCCATTTCTCAAGGACAGTGCGCGCTCGGAAAAGTTCCATGCAGTAATCGGAGTGAATACATATTCTACGACAATTTTCACCCTATGGAGATTTTTAACAAGCTCACTGCAGCAAGAGCGTACAATGCGACTTTACCAACTGATACTTACCCAATAGATATTCGTCGTCTTGTTCAACAATAATAATTTTAAGATAGCTCGAATAATTTGTGGTTGATGATAATTGGACAGGACAATAAGTAATCTGATGTATCTTTTCTTTAATAATCTCTTGGTGTGTCCACCTAACATACTGAGCATGTAACAACACGAATGTACCCATTTTATAACCATGAAAATAATTATACTTTGTTACATTTTATTATGTCCGTGCTTTACAAAATATTTTTTATATAGTTCAGTTCAAGCGAATATATGCAAGGGCGATTCACATAAATAGGAAAAAAAAAAGTAGGGGTTGAATTCAAATATATTGATTTTTGTCAACATGTTAAGTACAATCTACTTAACTTTTTTACATGTATACAGGACCAGACTATAGAGCCAAATTTAAAAAAATGCGGGCTTGGTTCATCAATTCTCATCTATGAGTGATGATTCTTCTCTGTCTTACTTGCTTCGATCAGACAACAATTTAGGGAAGTATAATGAGTTGCTAACAAGGCCTCTGAATGACCACTCAGAAGGCCTAGCTCTTGTTTTCTCAATCTGTCACTTGCTCGTCTCTCACTCATGAAAATTCTCTCTCCTCTCCCAGCGGCTTTGATCCATGTCTATAGCCAGTTGCTAAGACGATTCCCATTCAAGCATTCTCATTCAACAATCTATCAATGTTGTCCTTATTCTTTTTGTTCCAAATTCCTTTCATTAGTTCTTACATTAGCAATTTGCAGGAAGTAAGCAAAGTCTTTCCTTCCAAAAATACCAACTATAAATAGCTTTAGCATCCTTTGAGCTGAAAAGGTGTTATACATCTAAAAGGGAAGGTTTGGAACCCTAGTAGTTGAATGGAATCAATTTACCGGATTGACTTCCATGCCAACAATACCTCGTAAGGGCATTGAGAATTGTTTTAGCTTTTCTTACTAGAAAGTCTTTGCATAGTTTATGAATTCTGCTTAATAGGAACCTAAATACAAGAATGATTTTTCTTAGAGTCAAACCACACTTTATGATGAAAAGGGAAGAAATGATGGATAACGTGTCAATCTGTGATCAAAGAAAACTATACTTGAAGAATGTGATACAGATTGAGGTATGTGATTTTTTTAAAAAAATATTTTGATAAATTACTTAGTAATTTTCTTATATTGATTTTAAGTAACAAACCGTGTAATGATAATGCTACATCCTTGCATTACTAATTATTGTGATTTTTGTTTTATAGCAACGAATACATATAGCAATTTTTTTTTTCACAAATGAGCATTCGCTCTTATTAATAGCACCTCACTTGTGGTGGAGGAATATCGTGATTACAAATCAAATAAAACCAGCTAAACTTTTTTTGTTACTCTTCTCCAAAACTCATAATAATCTAAAACAACATTGGAAAATTTAAAGTCAGACTCTGGGGAGAATAACCTCTTAAATTAGGAATACCTAGTTTATCCATTCGCAAAACTCCTCTAACTGATGATGGGATGGCAATAGAATCCATCCAGATCTGTGAAACACTAGACGTTCCCAGTTTTGACAGGATATCGAACGGCTACTGAATTACCCTCGCGATGTATGTGCTAAACTCTACATGAGATTATAGACAATAGGTATTGAATTTTTTCCTAGTAATCCTCTAAATACCAAATATCACAAACCTTCCTCTTTAGCCAATTAACGATAATCAATGAGTCGAGCTCCACTTCAAGTCGGTTAATCCCATCCTTTTAGCATGTCGAAGCCCATATAATAATGCAAGTAGTTCAGCACCATTATTGGTACCCTCACCAAGATACTTGTTGATCCCAAAAAATGTTGCCAATAGATGCCGGGCCCACTCGTACACATGTAAGCTTGATCCAACACGTTAATGCCGATCAACGGTCACGATGACTCCAGAAACTGAACATGGGAGTAGCTCAAAGACATGAGGCGTTTCTTTTCGGGCTTCCGGTAAGATAAATGTAACACGATTGTATAAGAAATCAATCAATAAAAACAAGATTTATAGTTGAAATTCGCTGTTCCAATGAGAGAGAGGAGAATGATATTGCTTCAAGTATTTGGAATTTTTCTTTGCCCTTTTTGTGTTACATGGTGGGGGTATTTATAGTGTTACAAATGAAATAATGACCTCTGGATCAATTTACACGTGGCCTCATCTCCTCGGCCAGGGCATCAAATCCTAGCAATCAAGTTGACTTTCCTAGCCTTATAAAACATTAAATACTCTTACATTGACAAAACAAGACATGAAGTTGCTTTTCAAAAAAGTCACATCATTCACTCACATGAAGATCTTCATCATTGCTATATCTTTTCATAGCCCCATAATAAACGAAAGCCTCAGATCAGTTAAGGCCTTGGAATAAGCTGGGGCTTCGGTCTCCACGTCAAATGCTAGGAAAATACACCCTGGCTCAACTAAGCTGGTCCCACCACTGCAATATGGTGCCACGTGTCGCTTCCATTTACGAACCGTAACAATAGCCCCCAAGTCCATGTGCGGTTATTTTATGCCATGCGTGGACTTTCAAGAAGTTACTTAATGCATAAGGTTAACGAAGTTGCCTTCACAGCTAAAGTCCTTTTAAAGCTAAGGCGAGCTCATATTCGAACTGGCTGAGGTTGATTTCCTTTTGGCGAGGCGAATTCAGAATCAAACTGGCGAGGCTGAATTCATTTTTAAAGCTAAGGTGAGCTCATATTCGAACTGGCCGAAGCTGATTTCCTTTTGGCGAGGCAAGTTCATATTCGAACCGGCGAGGCTGAATTCCTTTTTAAAGCTAAGGCGAGCTCATATTCGAACTGGCAAAGGCTGATTTCCTTTTTAAAGCTGATAAGCTGAGGCGAGCTCATATTCGAAATGGCTGAGGCTGATTTCCTTTTGGCGAGGCGAGTTCATAGCCGAACTGGCGAGATTGAATTCCTTTTTAAAGTTGAGGCGAACTCATATTTGAACTGGCCGAGGCTGATTTCCTTTTGGCGAGGCGAGTTCATAGTCGAACTAGCGAGCCTGAATTCCTTTTTAAACCTTCTGGATATTAGTGCCTGCGATGTGATGGTTTTGCATGTTTCCAAGGTAAGTTTGTTGCATTGAAATGACTTTCAATAACCGTACAGTCGTTTGCATTCAATGTATCATGATGGCTAATTATTAGGACGTATGATGTTGGGAAAAACATTCACGTGCCAAGCCCTGCTGGTATACATACGCATTAATCTGGGACGTTGAAGATGTGAACCGTTCGAAATCAATGTCTCAGATCTATTTAATTTTGGACGCTTTAGATCAGCTGGGTTTTGATCCAATGGCTAGGATTGAGTCCTTTACTGGTATAAAGGCTAGAATCTTACCATTTCCATACTTTATCTTTGTGAAACACTCATCAAAACCTCTCAAGTTTTCTTGCTGTCAAATTTTTTTCCCGGCGAACCTCCTCGTCCATTTAGGTATTCTTTCATTAAGGAGCACTCTCTTCACCCTTCAACACAATTTTCGTAGTCTTTTCACAATTTTCTTTACTTGCAATATCTGCCGAGGCTTCTATGGCTATTACAGTGGTTAGGAGTGGGGAAGAGTCGATATCTAGGGCTTCAGATGAGTGGTACATGTTCGAGGAGCCTATAGATTACGAGGCGGGTTGGGGACAGCCAAGATTCCATCCAACATAACCTCTTCCAAATTAACCGAACTTAGGAATACCTATCGGATACCCCATTACGCAGAGCTGATAGTTCCTGACCCCACGAAAGAGCCTGTCTTTCGAGGCCAAATTGCGTAACTTTAGTGAATACCTGCTTAAAGCGGGGGTGCGTGTGCCTCTATACCCTTTCTTTAGAATAGTACTGAGGACCTTCATGTTGTCCCTTACCCAAATTTTTCCAAATGGGTGGAGCCAAGTCGTAGGGACCTACTTCCTTTGGAAGGAAGTGTCTTTAGGCGAGGACTTGCCCCTGCATGTTTTCGAGACTTTATTCCATGCTAGGATGGTAGGGAAGGACAACTCCAAAGGGTGGTACTATATCACCCCTTGGGGCTCTCATGCCCCCTTCGTATTTGGGCTCCCCTCCTCCATAAAGGGATGGAAGGAGTCCTAGTTCTGAGTGACGGGTAGGTGGCAAATGGTTGAAGGAGATGTTGTCCCAGCCGTTACCATATCGACCCAGTACTATGAAGCTTGTGAGTGCCTCGTCTTGAATTACTTGTGATTTAAGCATAACTCTTTGATACTGATCCTTATTTATTAATTCGAACTAACTGAGGCGAAGTGGGATATTATTACAGATATTTATAAACGATCTCCGAAGCTTCGAAACTTTGCCCATCTCATTAACAGGGATCGATACTTCATCGACTTCAGACTCATGGCTCCTAAGGGTAAGAAGCTTTCTAACTTCTAATTTTCATATGACCTCAGTAATCTTAACTTTTCCTCTGTCGATTGCAGATAAATTCAGCAAGAAGGACTATGCTCTGCCTGATATGGCCAGTATAGTGAAGGCCACGTCCACTGTAGGGGCGAAGGTGCTTAAGCCTGGGTCCTTAGGGGACAAGCAAGTGAAATCAAAGCTCGATTGCCTCAGCAAAGATAAGAATGATAAATAGGCTAAGTAGGAGGCCCCCAGAGAAACCACAAAGAGGGGGTAAGGGCATAGCTGAAGAGCCCCTGAAGAAGAGAAAGTTGGGCCCAAGTGGTGGGTCTTCAAGTTTTGGGACATCGGTGTCCTACACAGAGAAGGGTGTTACTAAGCAGCTGAAGCTTCTCCAATCTTCAATTGACGCTGCAATGGTAGCGCAATCGAGGAAGATAATAGAAAAGGCGACGAAGGCCTCCAGGCCACAAAAAATGCACCAGTAGAGAGGACCCAAGGGAAGTCTGGGAACTTCCTGGGAGGCAGGGAGAACAAGATAGCCCCTGCTCTTATAGAGATGCCCCCCTCCCCCCCCCTCCCCCCGAGGTGAGAGGTGCCACCGAGGGTTCAACAAATTCTAGACGGAGAGATGACAGAATTATGTTGCC